TCTAAAGGTAAGATCATCGACCTTCTTTCTCCAATTCCTTTTCAATTTTTTTGGTTTAATCATTCTTTCCCGGTAAATTTGTGTCTTAATCATCTATATATACATGATCTCACAAGCAGTTAGCCCATTCTCAAGAGTAAGTCCATTCTCAAGTTATATTCCATATCAAGAGTAAGTCCATTCTCAAGTTATATTATTCTCACACTTATCACGGTTTTATTTCTTCTATTGTTTGGGGAAAATGAAACTCCTGCCCAGAGAATGACGGTTCTTATGTTTTCACAATTTGAGTTGTGTTGTTTCCGGTACTGGTCCTTGATTAACAGAATTTATGGGAAATCGTTTGAACATGGAGGTATAAGAGGACGTAAAACTGATGGAGGTTGAGCAAGGTGAGGATTTGATTCTTCAAAAACATTGCAAGGTATGTGTATCAATATCTTTAGGTGATAAGTTTCTGTTTTCGCTTTGTGTATTGAGCAACCTGATGTTGGTGACCATTGCTTACAATCATTTTGGAGAAGGACGAGTGCAGAGAACACCAAGGTACTATTTTTTTAAAACTTCTTAAACTTAAGTTGCCTCTTTATTCTATCAGTAAAATTTTTTTGTTAAATGGCACGTCCAGGCATGGGTTTTTCCATGTAGTTAACAACGAGTAGACACACTGAAGATGTGTATGCCATTGGTGGGAATGCTGACCATTGATTACTAAATTTTGTGGTGATAGTTCGCTGTGACTAAGAAGCTAGCTAAGGATCCAAAATCGGATTCTTCTTTACTTTGAATATTGCAGCTTCAAATGGAATATTTCCTGATTTCATGACATTTGCATTAGGTGATTAGGCGTGACTATGTAGTTGACGTGAAGGGATACTTGAGCGTGACTGGTGATCGTTGTGTGGCTCTCCACCAAAAAATAAGTTTTCCACAAGGAAATTTTATTATTTTATGTGATAAGCTAGAGCTTCCCGATGAGTTCTTAGTCTCTCTTGCATCATATGCAATTTTTAAGAACTTATGAAACAATAGTTCTTTGATATTTTCAGTGTTATTACCAATACATCGTTCTTATGCTTTTGTTTTTAACTTTAAAGATGTGTGTTTTTATATGTTATTGGATATACAATTTTTTTTGCAGATATGTTATATACTTAGCTCAAATATTCTACCAAGTCGTTTTTCTTTTATTCTGTTGACGAGTTTCTTTGGAAGAGAACTCTTGATTCAACTTAAGTAGTATATTATAACATGTATTGAATTTGATTCTCTATCAGCTTAAGAATCTAAATTTGAGCTCTTTTCTTCATTGGTTTTTTGCGATGGTTTCTTTTTGCAGATTCTTGGGATATGGGTTTATTTTCATCCTCATATTGAGGTAGTTTTTGAGTTTGAATCATTGTGCATCAGTTACTTAAGGATGTTGACTCTGCTCTGTATGATGCAAGAAAACTAATTGTGCTCCTAAGAGATCGTAGAAAGTTAATGGGAACTCTTAGCTCATTTGATCAATTCGGTATTCACTTTTTTCTTTTTCATTCTCCTACATTTATGATATTGTTATTGGGAGAGAGATTATAAGTATAATTTTGTTGTTATAAATAAAGAGTAAATGCGATTCTAGACGTGCATGTGAGATGGTAATTGTTGGGGAACAATATTGCGACATTTGTTTAGGCCTATGTAATCCATGGAGAGAATGTTGTTCTGATTGCTGAGCTGGTAATACTTCTTCATTTACTTTTGTTTATATCACTTTGTGTTTCTCAATTCACTGGTTTGGCTTTAAACCCTGTGTCGGGACGGAGAGAGACGAACTTCCTCCACATATGATTTGTCTGTCAAAGGTAATACATCACATTAGATGTTTTAAAATAAAATAGATATAGAAAAATTGATCTATTTTGTGATGTTGATTACGTGTTGATGATTTGGTTTTTGGGGAATGTGTGTGTTGATGTAGGCGCAGAAGGTGGAGAGAGAAGCAAGTGAGTTGAAAGGAACGATGAGGAAGAGAATGGAGTTTCTTGACAATGATTAAAGCGGATTGTGTCCCATTCGTTCTTGGCTTGATGCTTTGCTTTGGTTTGCATATTTTATGACGAGCCTTTTTGTTGTGTGGTTGGAGATAGTTGATTTTAGGTTACTTATACAGGTCTCATGTTTTTTGTAACTCTTCGAGTTGCATTGGATGTGGTCATTCAAGCTCACGAGATCGGTCTAGTTGATCGACTTCTTATGATATGTTTTAGTGATTTGTATCATCAATTTATCTCTCATTTAACCATCGTTTGGTGGTTCGTTTGGCATTTTTCGCCTTGTCTTTGTGTATTTCCCATTAGCTTGGTTGTAATTCGTACTCTTGTAATAGAGTTTGATACTTGCTAAGCTAATGAAATTTTAGTTGTGACCAAAAAAAAATTACATGTCTCATGTTTCATTTTGGAAAAAGTGACGAGAACAATTGTGTACTTTTTTCTTAGGAGTATTTTACCTTTTTATAAAGATATATTGGAATCGGGTTGATGATACTTGATATGGAATGATTTCATACTAAAATGAAGACCTAATTAAGAAAAAGTTGTGATGTTGGCTAACACTTTGCAAACACAGGTCGTGCTTATTCATAGACTTATTATCTTTTGCTATATAAGAAAACTACACTATACGATAACAGACATGGAACAAAAGACCAGAGGACATGGCACATTGCAGAATTTCATGGCAAATATTGGTTTTGAGATCAATCAGGGAATAATGTTGAAAGCAGTGGCCGGAAATCCCCGTGAAGTGATCTTGACGACGTTTATGCCTTCTCACTTCGAAGGCCAGCCTTGCGGGGAGGGTTTAAATGATGAACGATGATTGTTAGAAGTGATCCTATGATATCGTATACTTGCATATGACAAATTAATAGCTGTAATCATTTAGCGTTTGCACCAAGAAGTTTTGGTAAATGTCGAATGCTAAATTGTAAATGCATGTCCCTTTTAAAATTAATTTGCTCCATTTTCTTCATTTTTTCTCTTTTGCTTTTTTGTATCTTCTGATAAGATTGCCTATTCGAATATGAACGAACTGGATTCGCTTGGTTTTATAGCAAAATACAAAATGCAATTGATAAGTATCAAATACTAATTGCTATGGGCATTCAGAGATACTTATGAAAATAGGGACCAAACAATAACATATTAAGATCAATGAGAATGTTGGGGAAGAAAAACTAATTGTATGAAGAAATGACACAGTTTAAGTAGTGTCGGTCCAACGCAAATACGAAAAGAAATCATTTTCTTATGTTTTCTAATATCATAAAAAAACATTCAACCTCATAAAACAATTCAGAATTCCAAAAATTATTTATAAATTAGAATACTTATTTTTAAAATTAATTCTAAAAAATAAAATTGAATAATAAGCTCAAAATGTGTATGTTGCACAGTATCATATAATTTAAAAGTACATTAAGCATATGTGTTAACGAA